AAACTTATATTTAAAATCTTATTATTGACTTTCTGTTTCAGTGGTAAATGGCCATTCTTCTAAAATGTGCTTCATCACAATATGCTCCTTGTCTTAAACTAGTCTTTTGCACAGTGTGTGTCCAGCTTCTCTCTCCAAGTCATTTTATCGGTCATATTGCCCCATATCCAAAAAGGCAGGTTGCCCCAGCTGTCCACATTCCTGCCATCTCTAATCGCTAGGAAGCCACAGAGTAAACTATTTGTAACCATTCCGGGTACGTGAGCAGTTCCTCTGCACTGGCTGGGGCACTGGCTCAGAAAATGGATGGTTGTTTAGAACCAGGTAGCTTAGGGCTGTTCATTCTGTGTACTGCAATCCTTTACAAGGAAAGCATCTGATCAGAGGATAATTCACAGAGCATCTTCTGGTTCTGACCACTCCAGGCGAGGAAGGAAGCAGTTCCTACCCACCATCTCAATAAAGCCATGCTGCCTCAGTTAATATTATTCATCCAACTGGAAAAAGGTCTTGGTGGCCATAGATAAGCCAAGAACCAAGTCCTCCAGTTGATCTGGCATCTTCAAGTTTGCCATGAACATACGCCTGCCAAGTCAACAACAGAAAGTTGGGAGAAATAAGCCTAATTCAGGACACAGGTGCGAGAACCAGAGGTTGAGATGCCCTTCTTCTTAGAGAAGGAATGTGGAGAAGGCTTCGTGGTGGCCAGATCTAAAGCTCCCCACATTAGGTCAGGCACTTGTGGTCCTCTAGCAGCAGAAATATGGCTTGTATAAATAAAAATACAGTAAGTTGCGGAGCTACATCCTTAGACCCCCTGCTGTTTTTCATCTGAGCTCAGAAACCAACCAGCATCGACCCAGTTCTGGATATTCAATATGGCAGCAGTACAGAGATGCATGACAGTTTTTGAGAAGATTTACATTTTGTTGAATCCATGCAGAAAGAACTTTTTCTTTCAAGCAATGAAGTTTGAACTGAAGAGGCAACCTAAGAGGAAAACCAAACTTCTTGGGGAAAAACCAAGCGGTGCATGGGCAGCTTTAATTTCTGCCCATATCACGCCGACACATTTGTTTTTATGTGAATGTATACTTGCTGTATGGAGGTGGATGAATAGAAGTGAGCATGCACCAGATGACAAACTGCAGTGATTAAAAATGAAAACACCGAAGATTGAAATACACTGAGACCAAGTGTTTAGGGAAACAAGAAGGTCGCTCATCCTATAAATTCAACATCCTCCCAGACACACTCCCTCAGAGAACAGTAGGCAGAACTCTCCCTTTGGAGAGACAGTCCTTCCTCAGGCCCATGGTCTGTGCTTTTATTTGTTTCTTTTTAACCAGAAAGTTTTATTTCAGCCAATAATTTATTTGTCTCTGTTACCAAAGTTCAGGAGTTTGACATTACTTGGAGCTACATTCAGTATTAAGTAGAATAGAATAATAATAATCTCTCTCATCAAAACAGCCTTGTCTATTTTCATTAAGTGAATTTTCACTACTGTTCTTTCTCTATATATACTCATTTTTCTATTACTAGGGACTGGTTTTCCGGATATAATGGTGATCTATGATGTACCATTCCCATCTTAGTGGCTCCTTAGGGGTCATTTAAAATAACTATAGGTTTGCATTTTTGTCTTACCTCACATATTTCATTCTGTTAAGTTGACTTTGTCCCAGTTCAGCATCATTGCTAAAACCTTGGGAGGTATTTCCAGTATGGGCTCAAACCGAGTGTCCCAGAGTGAAATCCTTGCTTTTATGATCTCTGGCTCTGCTCTCCGATGGAGTCCTCGGAGTCATGGATGGCTATTTAGATTTATTTAAAATGAAGTAAAAATTTCAAGTGTATTTCATCAGTTAAGTAGCCATACTTTAAGTTCTGAATCACCACATGTGACCAGTGGTTTCTATAGTGGACAGCACAGATAGAGAACATTTCCATCATTGCAGAAAACTCTACTGGAAAGATTTTGCACAGAAAAGGTCTTCTGACTTTTCTTAAGGACCTTTGAGAGCTGGGTCATCAGAAACCCCAATGTTTGGAGGTACATGAATCTCCTCCTATAATTCAGCAAATACCTGGGCACATTATTGATGGTTACTTTCAGGGAGTGTCTACACAAAACCAAAATAACTAAAATAATTTTTAAAACATCTTTTGGATTTACTATGAGACAAAGGCTCTTTTGGATTTCATCTTTTTTCCCCCCATCCTTCAACTATTTATCTTTATTCTGTGTAGACACCAAAAGATCAACAATGACAAAACCCAACAAAACTTTTTCAAGGAAAAGGCATCAGATGAATCCCAAATAGAATGACTGTCGTGACTGACACAGGTAATTAAGATACTTGGATTTTTGAGTTGTCAGATGAGGCCTCTACCCAGGCAGCCTTCTTTGAGCTCCTGTCTTTGCAGACAACATAGCAAACAGCGATGCGTTTCACAGCACATTTCACCAAAGAGTCGGCCACCAGACATCATTATATTCTGTATATGCAAGCTGGATTACCAAACAGAGAAGCCCAAAGAGTAATTTCTGCATTAGGATTATGACATATCACTCATGTTGTGGGAAAGAGCAGCAGAGAGCAGCAAGCATGGGTTTGGGGATCAGACCTGGGTTTCAGACCAAGCTGCCCTATGTAGTGTAGGACTTTGTGATAATCTCTGACCTTCCTGATCCTAGGGTTTTTCAGTAAAAGGACAACGAATGGTCACTGGCCTACAGAGTTATCGGGAAGAGTAAGAGAGATCTCCCACCCAGAGCATTCTATTTAATGCCTATCTCAAAGGATAGCAGATGTGTTTTTGTTATTATCAGGGTCATGTTAAAATGAACATTTTAACAGCCAGTAGCATACCCCACACAGCCTCAACAAGGGTAGATCCTCATCATTAAAGGTTAGAAACAGTAGAAATGTTGTTTGAAAGCTAGTTATTTTTAAGTAGTGCAGTATTAGATTAATTATCCCAATTCAAAATTTCTAATTTGATCATGAATGTTCAATACATATAGACTTTTGATCATGTTTTCTTTTTATCAGTTTTGGGCATATGTTGTTAAATTTGTGTGTCTGCACAAATATAAATGTAAAACTGCTATTGGAACATCTTCAGGGTACGGGTTTTGTATAATGCAAATCCTGCAAGGGGTCCTAGGCTATAGAAGTATAACCATGTAGTATATTTAACAATACAGAATGCATATAAATATGCATAAATATGTTCACGAAAGTATTTTTATTGGCCAGTTGCATCTTCCTTGTGGTGTTTGGTATGCCTTTAACCTTTTTACCTGTTCAGAAGTGGAAGAAAATTAACATGTAATTGACACACATGTCTCTAGATGCCCGAGACATGATGATGTGCTTATGATATAGATATCATTATCTCCATTTAATACATGAGAATGCTGAGCTTGAGGAAAGCTCAGTGATTGTCAAAGCCACACAGCTGGTGAGTGGAGTGGCTTAGCTTTGAACTGAGGTCTGTCTCAACCCGAAGTCTTTTCCTATACCACAGTGATTGTCACAGTGATTCTCTCTCTGTTCCCCTTCCTGGAACTGACCATTTGTTCTGCATACATAAGAACAGAGCCTGTACCTCCGTGGTTTCTCCCTCCTCTTGCCTGTCCCCAAATCTCTTCTATTGAAACATGCAGGTGAAGCCCATGACGTTGGTAATGGGCGTTTGTTTCCTTGTCTACAGACTCTCAAGCAGTCACTGTATTTATTCAGCTAACTATTGAGAAATGGATTGGACTGAGATCATGGATCTTTGTACAGCTGTTGTCAAAAGCTATCAGGGCCAAATTCAGTTGTTTGCTGGTTTTTTAAGATCTCAGTTGTAGAGTGTCAAGGAGTACCTCAGAGTATTCAGAACAATGGAATTGCTTTCTGCTTGGTGGTAAATCTTTGGGTACAACAAAATCAGGTCATAATTGGACAGTGTGTCTTGAATGGCATAATGGCTGGCCCGAATCCCTCCTCTAGTTAAAATAGGAAATATCATGAACCCACCAATCTGCTTCATTCTATACACACTGAGTTGGTTCAGTTGTGTCTGGCTCTTTGCAGCCCTATGAAGTGTTGTCTTGGAAAACAAATCCTGGAAGTGGTATGTTTAATCTGCAATTCATTCTTACCACCATAGTACTAGTAAAGTTTGCAACTGGGAATTTTAAGCATCTAAATCTGGCTAAAATTGTCTTTCTTTTTCTTTTATTTTTTTAAACAAACTAGTGTCTGTATGTCTATCTTCTTTGCGGTCATTTGCAGGGATGGCTAAAGGCCATGCGGGATTTGCAGACAGGCCACAAAGATATAAAATCTGGCATTTCATCCTTAATCTCACCTCTAATACTTTATTTTTCATGGGCTAAAACTCCTCTGCAGTGATCTGGTAGATGCTTTCCCAAATGGGGAGGCCATTAGCATGGTGGTGTCTGGGCCTATATACTTGGATGGAAGTTTCCCTGTTCTATTCAAATATCTGATGTGATTTTTGTTTCTAGAAGGCTTCCTTAGTAAGGAATCGTAAATTTCTCCACATTCATGTGCCAGTGAAAAGAAGTTATGCTTCCAAAGTTCTTAAATATTTCAACTTCATCCCTATTGCTACAGTTCAATGGGGTGTCTGAGGTTCCCCAGCAGGAAGTTGATCCCCTAAGAGGAAGGGAACAAGGAAGGTGACTCCATAGCTGTGTTGATGTCAATTGGAGGGCTTGGGACCAAAGGATAAGAAGCCAGGGATGGGGGAGATTTCACACATCTTAAGCAGAGCTTCTGAAAGCTGCTTCCCAACAGGGAGCAAAAAGAAAGTGGTGAGCACACTCTTAGGAGCAAACGGCAGCATTCGCCAAGGCGACCCAGCCCAGAAGACAAGAGCGCGCACAGCCTTTCTCCAAAGAAAGGCAAGCATACACCACATCTGCCAGAGCTTCCTGATGCGGGACGGGGAGACGGAAGGAAGGGAGAGATACTTACTGTTTGGGTCTATGTTTTCACAAAGCTCTGTCTTGGCCTCACCGTTGGGTCTGTCACTGGGCTTGTGCGACAGCCGCGATGACATGGTGGCTGCCGTGACCACTGCCTTGAAACTTCGCTTCCGTTTCTGGACATTGAGTTCAGGGTGGAAAATGATGATGTACACTTTCGGCATGTATAGCATCCCCAGCGCCACTGATGCACTTAGGTTCATGGAGATTGTAAGCGTGGTGGTTTGTATGTAGAGCTAGGAGACAGAACACACAAGACACTCTTACAAATAAAGTGGCTGCAAAGGGAGGCTGGATGCCCAGCACGATGCCAAGCACAACTCTGACAGGCAGAGAAAGCACAAACCCTGGGGAGACAGAGTGGCTCTGCACGTTTCTTGGAGACTTTATACATAAATATCATTGATTTAAAGTCATAAGGTAGCTCCGAGTGCAGGTCTATCCTGGAAAAGTCTGCTTTGTAGAGGTTCAGTGTCAACCTTGCATCAGATCTGAAGCACCTTTATTCAGAAGGGCAACTGGATATAAAACCATGAAGGTCATATTTGCAATCTCGAGTAAGGGGTAGTTTTTTCCTACCCCCCATACCTTCACAAAACAATTAACATTACATGATCTCTTACTGCACAGATACCCAGGGACCTTATTTGAAAAAGTCATTATGTCAATATATGTATCTTTCTGTATTTTTTTTTTCTTTTTTGAAAGGGTTCACCTTCATCATGCCTACAGAGTAGTGAGCTGAGTTTCCTTGGAAAGTTAGCCCTTCTTGCTTCATTCTGGTTTACAAAGCATTAATGGGCAAGGGATCAAGACCTAGTGGTGTTGGCTTATACAGTTGCTGTGAAGTGAAGGGAAGTCACTCAATCCTGTCCGACTCTTTGCGACCCCATGGACAGTAGCCTGCATCAGGCTCGTCCATCCGTGGGATTTTCTAGGCAAGAGTACTGGAGTAGGTTGCCATTTCCTTCTCCAGAGGATCTTCCTGACCCAGGGATCGAACCCAGGTCTCCACATTCTAGACAGACGCTTTACCGTCTGAGCGCCCAGGGAAGGTGCTAAGGGTCTACGAAACCTCACCCTGGCATGTGTTACGTGTAGTTCAGATGGTACCCGTAGCTGTGCTTATATCCTTTTGCCTCTTGAGAAATCAGTAGAGCCACCCATTCACTCATTCTTCACTGTGTTGAATCACTGTCTTGCCTAAAGTGGAAAAGATGAGGGTTGAAGCGGGTGGGGAACGGTAAGATCAGTAAGAAGAAAGCTACAGACAGCTTGACTTGGTCCATTTGCATTTATGAAGTGCCTTGTCATGATTCATAGCCCACCATTCACTTAGATATGTCTGTGGTTTTCATGACTTCTAAAGCCTAGGCTCACTGTGAGGTGATGGGTGTGTTCCTTAACTTGATTGTGGAAATCAGGTCACAATATCTAAATATGTATATTACATCATCACACTGTACCTCTTAAAAAATGTTATATAACCTAAATATATGCAATTTGTATTAATCAGTGATAACCTCAGTAAAGCTGAAAATAAATGAATGAATAAAGAGGTAAAAAATAGGTAGATAAGTAAATAAGTACATTTCAAGTACATTTGAAAAGAAAAGTTCAAGTGACCAGTTCCCACAGCCTTCTACATCAGTGGAAAACCTAGCCTCTTCACAATGCATTTGATCATGGTTTTCCACAACGGTATCTTCCTCTGTGTCTGAGGATAAAAATCCCCATCTTTAATGGGTTTTACAAGGGCCTGCATGGTCTTTTCCCTTGTCTGGTTTCTCAGGCTAATTATCCACCACTCTCCTCACCTCTTTCCTACCTCTCTCTCTAGGATTTCATCCACATGGCCCTCCTTCAGTTCTTGAAAATGCTATGCTTATTCAACCACAGACTTTTCTACATGCATGTGTGTGACTTTTATTTATTAGTGTTTCCTTCTGTGTGGAATGTTCCTATACATTTTAGAACATCCATTCCAGCCTGCCTCCCCCATGACCTTAACTCTCAGCCAGCTTCTTTACCAACATTTGCTGTTCAGTCACTATGTCACTTCCAACTCTCTGTGACCTCATGGACTGCAGCACGCCAGGCTTCCCTGTCCTTCAGTCTCTCTTGGGGTTTACTCAAGGTCATGTCCATTGAGTCGGTGATGCTATCTAACCACCTTGTCCTCCGCTGCCCTCTTCTACATACAGGCCCTCAAAACACTGTTGTTCTTAGGTCACTGCTGTCTGTCTGTAATTCTCTGCCCACTAACCTGGTCATCTGACCGCCCATCTCCTGGCCTGAGCCACCAGTTCGGTGCAGGCAGTGATGTTGTGCAGTGGTACCATCGTGTCTGCAGTGCTGACAAAGAGGAGGCGCTTAAGAAGCACACAGTGGATGAGCTCATGTGTTTGCATAAGGGGCACCTTCTTCCTACTGATGACTCAGTGGTCACACAGCCTTTCTCTAAATATACAGGGACTGCCATCAGATCTATTAGCTGCCTGGCCATTTCTGACCTTAGCTCTTCAATCTGGGTCTCTGGAGAAGAAATTAAAAGAGACTTTGCTTTTCATCTGGAAGGAATACTGTTTTCCAGCAAACATTAATTTGAATGTGCATGTTTCTGAATGCTTTATGGGAGCTGGCAGCCGCTCAGTGTATAATACATGACAAATGTAAAATATAAAGACAAAACAATATTGAATTAATGATCCTTTTGGTTGTGAACTAGACCATATTTTTAAAGCTCATCTTTTCCTATTACAATACCTTTAGACTTTCATCTCTATTCTACCCTGCTGCCCACCCTGTCCAAGAAAGTCTTACCCTGAAACAGAGGGCTGTGAACTTGGGTATTGCTAATTTGTCCTCCATGGCCACTGCCGTCATCCTAGTAATTAGGGCTTTGCAAACCATGAATGAGCCAGTCCAAGAAAGAGAGGGAGATAAACTGACCCATGGGATCTTAAGCTTTTCTTCTATTTCTCCACTCAAAAGCAAATTTTGCAGTTGAAGAAACCATCTGTAGTTTGTTGAGTTTATGATTTATATACATAAGTTGTATACTTATATACTTATGTAAATATTTATGCAGGTATGTGTATACATGCATGCTTTTCCTCAAGAAAGACTACTTAGTCATTTAGGACTCTAGTAGCAATGTTGTTTATTTTATGGAGTCTGTAATTTTGTTCTTTTCAAGCTAGGATCTATCAAGACTTTGATACTTGTTTTGACATTTTTGTAATTTCGGGTGACATTTCAGGAATCTGTGAAAACGAACAGGAACATCATTGACCAAATTTCTAAATCCTTTATGTTGCAGAGTGGTTAGGAATGAAGACTGCAGAGCGAATCTGAGTTCAATTCCCATTTACTCGCTTTGTGACCTGGGACAGATTACTTCACCTCTGTCTGACTTAGCTTGCACATCTGTAAATGGGGATGATAACACAAGTCCCCACCACCACCTCATGATGTTGTTGTGGTGATTAAATGAGATTTGTAAAGTAGGATAGGACCTAGCATGTAGTACTATGAAAGGATTTTTAAATAAGTTACATAGGTAGAAAGACAGGAAGACCCCAGCCTGCAGAGAACCCAGAGGTCCTTGTTCGTGGGGATACAACCCAACTCAGCCCCAGGAAGGGAACTCAGTTGCTCTTTTCTTGGCATTTGGTGGGATGCTTGCTTTTTGACTCTTGAGTTTTCATCCTAGCAGCCCTTTTAGTACAATTTTTTTAAGCAAATTACAACATTTAATTTTAATTTATTTTTAATTAGAGGATAATTGCTTTATTATGTATTGTGTTGGCTTCTGCCATACAACTATGTGGATCAGTCATAAGTACATATATGTCCCCTCTCTCTTGAACCTCCTCCCACCCCTCACTACCCACTTGAGTGAGGTGGATGAATCTAGAGTCTCTTATACAGAGTAAAGTTAGTCAGAAAAAGAAAAACAAATATCATATATTAAAACATATTTATGGAATCTAGAAAGATGGTACCGGTGAGCCTATTTGCAGGGCAGGAATAGAGACGCAGACATAGAGAACAGCCTTGTGGGGAGGAGAGGGTGGGATGAATTGAAAGATCAGCAGTGAAATAGAAACATGTCCATGTATAAAATAGGTAGCTTGTGGGAAGCTGCCGTATGATGCAGGGAGCTCAGCGTGGTTTATCTGTGGCAGATTACAGCATATTTATTTTTTAGTCTCAAGGCTATTCCTGTTTTATCCAATGATTGTTGTCAAATGAGCAATGCAGATTGTAGAATTACCCTGTTTGATTTTGGATATTTTATACCATTTTGTTTTATCTTCCTTATCATTTCTTGAGAGAGATAAAGGTGTTAGTGGTCGATTTTGGTCTCTCTTACCAGCACATAGGGGTTCTGGCACATACAGCATTACTGGGGTCAGCTCCTCCCCTCCCCCATCCCAGACTGCCCTTGTCCCATCTGGCTGTCTGCGGCTCATCACCTCACCATAGTCCATCCTTGATGGCCTGAGCTCATGGGAAGGATGCTCCCTGCCTTGCAGTGTTCGGATACTTAAGCCTGAATTTTATCATCAACTTCAATGCATTTCCAGAATCCAGTTTCTTTTCCTTGGTTGAATGTGGCTTTCCTGCCAACCACCATGTGTGACCCAGCTTGTAGAACTAAGGAAAATGTAGGCGAAGGATTCCAAGTCAGGTGGTGTTTTGCACATTACTCTACCAAGTAGTTTTCTGAAAGTCTGATAAACAGAACCTCTGGCTGTCAGTTTCCTCATTTGCAAACTGAAGATAACAATAGTTTAGGGTTCAAATGCTGACTCTGATGACCTAATTCATTTAAAATATGAAAAGTGCTTTGTACAATGCCTGGGAAACACATATACATGAAATGTGAGCTGCTAGCACTGTTTATAATAGCCAGGACATGGAAGCAACCTAGATGCCCATCAGCAGACGAATGGATAAGGAAGCTGTGGTACATATACACCATGGAATATTACTCAGCCATTAAAAAGAATTCATTTGAATCAGTTCTAATGAGATGGATCAAACTGGAGCCCATTATACAGAGTGAAGTAAGCCAGAAAGATAAAGACCATTACAGTATACTAACACATATATATGGAATTTAGAAAGATGGTAACAATAACCCTATATGCAAAACAGAAAAAGACACTCCGATGTATAGAACAGACTTGTGGACTCTGTGGGAGAAGGCGAGGGTGGGATGTTTCAA